GGTGGGAGGTGCAGCGGGAGCTGCGGCGCCTGCAGGAGCTGGTTGTGCTTCCGCTTCACGTTCTCGTCCATCTGCTTCAGCTCCTCCAGCACCTTCCGGACACAGCTCTCGGGGATCTTTATCCCTAGGGGAGGAATGTGCATCAGTCCCCAGAGCGCTTCGGGGAGGGACGGGAATGTGGGGACAGGGAAGGCAGCAGGACTGGGGCCCATTGCTCAAGCACAGCCCCAGCCCGTTCTACCCCTGCAGAGCAGGGAGAGGGAACTGCAGCCCCAGCAGGAGCAGCTCCACGGCTGGTGGGAGCAGGCAGCATCAGAGCAGCTTCACTGGGCACGGAGGGGACAGCCCAGGCCTGGCTCACACCCTCTGCCCATGCACACACCAGGGTAGCCCCAGCTCCCCTCCTTCCTATGGGGTCTCCTAAGCTGTGAGTGCTTCCAAGACAGAAAAAGTCCTGTCTGAGGAAGGGAATCATGGTGCTGTGCAGATGAACCTCTTTTTTCCTTCTAAAACATCCTGCAGCCCTTCCCAGCACTTCACCCACCGACTTGTTTCCTCTGCTCCTTGGTCTTGAGGCGGACGATCTGCAGGTAGCTGCTGCTGGTGATGTCTGCCATGATGCTGGCAATCCTGCTCCAGACCCGCAGCAGGGCCCCGCACAGCATGTAGTAGTGCCGCAGCCGCATGCCCTGGAAACACTCCTTCCCCTCCTGGATCAGCTTGCAGCTCCCGTTCCTTGAGGTCAAACAGGAGAAAACCACGCCAGTCAGCAGAGGGTTCCTCCTGCTGGCATGGCCCTTCCCCACTGCCACAGCCAGGGACCCCTCCCCAAGCCCAGCTCTGCCCTGGGAGGGCAGGACAGGCTGAGGCTCAGTGGCCTTACCAGACAGCATGGTTACAGTTGGTCAGGGAGAAGAGGTAACTGCTCTCCCAGTGCTCCTTGGCTTCCTCGGGTGGCACCTGCAGAGGAAACAACACCAGAGATCTTCCACTGTCTGACATCTGTCCAGCAGCTGAGACTTGAAATCCAGGGCTGGGAGTCAGGACCCCCAGGTGCTGCCACCAGTTCTGCCCAACCCACAGTGGGGCTACAAGGAGCTGTGAAGGGGTCACAGTAAAGGTCCTTCCAAAGCCACCCCTGCCCAGAGACAGCAGCTCTTCCCTCTCCCCACACTGGGGGGCTGCAGCTCTCACCTACCTGCCGGTACTTCTTCTGCAGACTGTCCAGGCTCTCAGGCTGGCTTTGCTTCCCAATATTTGGCTTGTAGAGGATGAAGTTCTTGCCACGGATCTGCTCTGCCAGCAGGCAGGTGTGCTTGCAGCCTCGCATCTGTGGGGGCAGAGCTCATGGTTACAGCCACAGCCTTTCTCCCCAAGCCCATATTTCTCTAAAATAACTCCCTTCCTTCCAGGATGGAGGTTCTTGGAGGCATCTCCCAGCCCCCAGCAAGAGGTCAGACACAGACCTCCTGCAGCCCCAGCTGGAGTCACCCTCTGAGCTGAGGTGCCACCCTGGCAGAGCCCAGGGACCCACCTTGAGGGAGAGGTAGAATCCATCAAAGGATCCTGTCAGTTTGAGGGACTTCTCATAGGCTTCCTCCCACTTCAAGCCTCTGTCAACACTGATCTACACAGGGACAAACAACAGGATTCTGTAACTTCACGGGATAGGACAAGTGCACCAGGGTCTGTGTCACAAAACCCACCCACAACACAACGTTGCTGCAGCCAAGAAACAGGCACTGCCAGTCTGGGTAGGGCAGCCCCGAGCCCTCCCCGTGCCTCCCGTGTCACTCCCAGCATCAGCGACCTTGGTCAAGGCAAACGTGACACAAACATGGCACAAAGCCACAGGGCAGGCACACAGCCCCAGACTGGGGAGCACTGGAGAAGGCTGGACTGCAGAGACAGCTGTGCAGGCTGCCTACCTTGTAAAACACAACCTGCCCATCCTGCGGGTGCCCAGGGGTCAGGAAGACCTCCTTGCTCTCCTCGTAGATCTCATCCACTCCTGGAGCTAAATCTGCAGAAGGGGAAAAGGCTGCTGTAAGATACATCTTCCTGTACCACCTCCTCTCCCTGCAAGAGCCTCAAGATCTGTGCTGTGTGGGGACACTGCAGTGCCAAGATGGCTGTTGCTGTGCCAGCACCACCAGCCAGCACAGGGAAGAGCAGAGCACCTCAGGGTGCAGCAGGGAGAGGTCTGGCCACCCCTCTTTCTCCATACCTAGGATGCCCATGTCATATTTGCCCTCCTTCTTGTCCTTTTCAATCAGATAGTCGAAGGTGTCAGAAAAATACTGGAAGAGCATGTTCTGCTTGTCCACCTCCAGACCCAGGATGCGGTTCAGGAACTTGGTGATGGAGCAGTCTGCAAGAGCAGGTGGGTCAGGGAACGTGGCACAGCTGGGCACTGCACCCACCAGCTTGCTCCCACAGAGAGCCACCCAACAGGCAACCCAACATCCCTTCCTGAAGGCAGCACAGCACAAGGGAGCAGCCCTAGGGCTGTTCCTCCAGGCTGCTGCAGGGAAATGGCATCTGCAGCTGGCTGGTCCCACAGGACCTTCCCCTCAAAGCAAACACCCTGCTCAGGGGCACAGCAAACCCCTCGAGGCTGTGCTCCCATGCAGACTGAGGGAGTGGGCCATGGCACCCCCACCTCTCTCATTTCTCCCCTACTTTGGGAAGGAAAAGCTTGACACTTACCCTTCTCCACAGAGACAGTGCCATACTTCATCTGGTTGCAGCAGATCCCCACAGAGATGAGACCTTGCTTCATTTCTGGAACAGCAGAAGACAGCTTGTGCATTCTGGGGTCCAGCCTCCCCTCAGCAGTCCTGCAGGGCTCCTTCCCCTCCAGCTGTGCCCTTTATTTCACAGCTCAGTCTCTTCCAGACCCTTTTCCCCCCTGCCTGCCAGCCTGACACACCTCTGGGTGGCTACTCTTCCCACTCACCAGGGAACTGCTCAGCCAGGGCTGCTGTTCCCTCTCTCTGCCCTTCTGCTCCATCCTCCAGGTCTCCCAAACCCAAGACCAACCCAGCCAAGCCAGACACAGCAGAGACCTCAGAGCTGGTAACTTTCTTACCATGGAAGAAGGCAGCCTCCCCTTTGTCGTAGCTCTTGGGCACGGGGACCCGGCTCTCGGTCTGGCTGAGGATGGTGGAGAGGACTCTGTCCAGGGCCTTGGCCCCGTACTGTGACAGGAGACAGAGTCACACAGGGACACCCCTACAGCAGTGGGCTGTGTCACAGCACCCCTGCTGGCACAGCCATCCCCTCCCGTGCCAAGGGGGAGCTTCCTCTGCCCCGGGGTTCAGGAGCCCACCCCCCAGCTCCCCCGGCAGGTATGAACTCAGTCCTGGAGCTGGGTGCTAGGCCAGATCCTGCCTGTAGATGCCAGCAATGATCTTCTCCAGCCCCGGCTCCCACTCAAGGCACTCGCCAACTATTTCAACCCCTCCTCTGAGCCTCCCTGAGCGCAGCCCCGAGTTACCTTATTCTCGAAGTTGTACTTGCTGAGGTCCCGGGACTCGGTGGCCCGGCGGTCTCCGTGGGTCAGGGCACCCTAGGGAGGCAAAACAAACACCAAGTTCTTCCTTTTAGCTGCTGCAAAACTCCAGAGCAGGATGGCTGAGGCCACATCTTGGATGAGGCCAGGATGAGAACGTGCTGGGGGGGAAGGGGGGTCAGTGTTCCTCTGGAATATTGACACTTCACCAAGTATTTGGGGATTTATCAGAAGTGAAGAAAAATTAAACAAATTAATTATTCCATTAATTATTTCATCAGCTTTCTGGAAACAGATGGGTTTACACTCCTGCAACAGTGGGGAATTCCAGCATCTGGAATTGGGTTCTGCTTCCCTGAAATTCCTCCTGGTGCCTCAGTCACTTGTCCTTCACTTCCCTTCCCAAATCCCAGGATGCTAAAGGCCCTCTGTGTTCCACACCTGCAACACCTCCAGGCAGGGGTAGCACAGTCCCCCTGCCCGTGCAGTGGGGACACTGAGCTGGTCCCACGTGGAAGCTTTGCAGAGAGCAGTGGAGCTGGCAGGTCCCCCCCTGCTGCAGGGCACTTACGAGGCTCTCCAGCCGTTTTGCCACGATGGATGCAAATCTCCTCTCCCCTGCCAGCTCAGAGATGAGGAACACGTACTCCGGGGCAGACACCTGGTTCGATCGGTGCGTGCGGCCTATGGGGGGAGAGCAGCAGTGAGGGGCTGTGCAGCCTGGCTGGCAGGGGCAGGGGCAGTGCCCAGGCACACTCAGCCCTCACCAAACTGCTGGATGGCCCGGTCTGCACTCCAGGGCAGCTCCAGAGTCATGTGCACCCGGCGCCTCTGGTTTTTCACCCGTCTGTCCGCTTGGAGAGAGATCCCTGAGCTGGAGGCCTCTGAGATTATTGCTACAAGCTAAGGGAGAGAGACAAATGAGACAGGGGGGTGAGACTCCTGGACATCTGCAGAACTGCTTCAAGAAACTGCCCACAGCACAAGCCTCCCACCCGTGAGGGGTCCCAGGACTCCCTGTCACCTTCCAGCAGGTCGAGCACAGTCAGAACCGTGTTGGCCCCAGGCTGGCAGGGCACAGGCACGTGCACAAGCTCCCCTGCAGGTGTCTGGAGGTCTCCTCAGCTCAGGTCTCACCTTTTCCCCCTTCATGAAACGCTCCTTCTCCTTCAGGTTGACGTGGTCTATGGACAGTCCTTGCTCTGCTCGGGACTCGAAGACGACGGCGCCGTCGGGTCTGCAAACCACGCGGCCCTTGCGCCCCGTCATCTGCAGACAGGGGGGGGCTGTCAGGGGGCTGCACAGGGGCAGCTCTGCTGGGACAGGCAACCCTCAACAGCTTTTCCACATTGCAAGGAAGGAGAAGAAACCCTCTTTCAGCCAGAATTCCCCTTTCCTGCCCCCCTGTGCCACCACCATCTCCCCAGCCTGTGAGCGGTACCTCAGCCACGTGCTCCGGGCCCCCAAAGTGATTGATCAGTTCATCCAAGGTATTGAGAGGTAGCTCTTTGCCCAGTGCTTTTACTTTTGCTAGGAGGTCCTGCTTCATCTTTTCCACATGTTCTAGTTCTCTCAGGCCATGCATCTCTTTCTGGGAAGGCAGCATGTGAAAACTGCCTGCAACATGAAGTGCAAAAGCTTAGAATGAAATTGCAAATCAGAAAGGAGAGCAAAAGTTGTCCCAAAGAGCTTCTGGGGGCCTGATGAGTGGGCAAAGACACCATGACTTGCAATAAATGCTGCTGAGCATGGAGTGAATCCATAGGATCACAAACTGGTTTGGGTTGGAAGGGACCTTAAAGATCATCCAGTCCATGGGCAGGGACACCTCCCACCAGCCCAGGCTGCTCCAAGCCCCATCCAACCTGCCCTTCAACACCCCCAGGGATGGGGCAGCCACAGCTTCCCTGGGCAACCTGGGCCAGGCTCTCACCACCCTCTCAGCAAATTTCTTCCTAATGTCCAACCTAAATCTCCCCTCTCCCAGTTGAAAGCCACTCTCCTTTCTGCTGTGGTGGGGCAAGGAGCAGGCAGGGCAGATCCCTGCTGCTCACTGATCACAGCAGGACACTGAGCGCACCTGCTCACATCAGTGTCCCCTTGCCAGACCCCCCAGAAGGGTCAGGTCTGATCTGGACTCGGGGGGGTCTGTCCCCAGCTGTGCTCCTGAGCCCCAGGGAAGGAGGTGGCTCCTGTTCCCAGCCCCCAGGGAGCTGCTGCCCTTACTCCTGTCCTCGGGGAAGCAGTTGAAGGTTTGCTCAACGAAGATCACGTCGTCAGTCTCAAACAGGGACTCGGGGGAGGAGTTGAAGTCGCTGTCCAGCCCCATGTCAGAGTCGGTGCTGCTGTCGTCGCTGATCTTGATGACACCCCCGGGGTCACAGAGGCCCCTGAGGGCCTTGGGGCAGCGGCCCCTCTGCTTCCCTGCAAGGAGAGAGAGCAGCGTCCGCGAGAGGGGCCGCGCTCCTGCACCCACACAAAGCAGCAAGTGCCAGCTTGGAAAGAGGAGGAGAGGCCACAAAATAGCAGAGACTGCCCCAAATGAAAGGCTGATCTTGGAAAGACAGAGACTCTTGGGTGGGGACAGCTACAACAGGGCAGGGAGAGGGGCAGGGAGAGAGAAAAAGGAAGAGAGAGAAAGGAAGGACAAGGCTGTCGTTGCCAGGGCTGAAGCTGGTTGCACACACCAGGATGAACACTCAGCAGCTCCAAGCAGTGCTGACTCCTCAGGGGAAGGAGCCCATGGGTCTGACTGCCCCTGGAGCAGTGTGGGACACGGAAAGGTGCCAGTGTTTTGGGATGTTGTTGACTTCAAGAATGGTAAGACATGCCCTGCCATGTGAGAGGGTTCACAAACCAGCATGCCCAGGCTGCTCTGCCACCAGTCAGGACAACCTCCACAATCTGCCAGTGCTGCTGTCCACTCTTCCCCCTTTCCCACATCCCACTTGAGGAGAAATCCCAAAACTCTTCTCACCAGCAACCACAACCAAGAATTTGGCAGGGAAGTTATTCTTTTTTTCCGCCAGGACACCTGGGGTGCTCTAAGGGGTAGTGGAGACCCCCCTTTGCCACAAGAGGGCTCCGGACATGCAGCTGGGACCTTGTGCAATCTGCCCAGAGTCTGGGTGAGGGAGAGGCTGGGAGAGGGGCAGAGCTCCTGGGAAGGGGTGGAGGGGAGGACCTGGGTCCCCCAGATGAGAGAGAGTGAGGGGAGATGTGCAGGAGGGCAAACTGAAACCAGGGCAGAGCAGCAAACAGCGTGAAGGGGGGAAAAGGGGAAAAGGAAAAGAAAAAGCTGAGTGGCTGGGGTGAAGCAGCAAGGCAGGAGGTCAGATGCTGGGCAGTGGAGTGTGCTCTTACGTTTTCTTTTAATGCCAGTTCCTTTTTCTCTCTTTCTTTTGGTTGAAGGAAAGTGCTTCTGAATTAGTGATAGAAAGACGCCTCTGAAAGTAAGATGCAAAATTTATTCTAGCTACCAGGAACAGGAACAACTGCTGGTTATCACGTAGCAATGTGCATTTGAGTCAGCACCACAGTTCATGGAAGAGGGGTAAATCCTGCACCACAACTGCTGGCATGGCGTGTGTCACCAAAGGGCTCTGCCATGGGAGTATGGGCTGTGCTGGCAGCTCCTCAGCCATGAATAGGCATGCTGAGGGATGCACAGCTCTGCAATCCCAGGAAAAACGTGTGCTGAGGGATGCACAGCTCTGCAGTGCTGGGAGAAACACTCCCTGCCATGACCTCCCCGACCAGAAGGAGCAGGACGCAGCACGGAGGGAGAGCAGAGCCTGGGCTCAGTGCTGCCCCATGGCAGCCGAAGCTGCAAGACCTTTATATAGCAACTAAGAGGGAGTTTTAAATGGGAAACACTATGCTGGGAAGCTGTTACATCACTACTGAAAAATCCAGTAAGTCTCAGTGTCCCAGCCTCTCTCGATGCTCCAACAGCAGCGACCACCCCAAGGCTGGGGCTCCCCCAGGTCCTCTGGTTAACTGGCTGGGGGCTGCAGAGCTGGGAAAAGTGGCAAAACAGGGATCTGTTGTGGTTTCAGGTGATGGATAACATCATAAGAGGTGGAAAACAGATGTTTCTGTGGGCTGTTCTGCAAATAAAAGAGCCAATGCTTAAATGCTGACTGTGCTGGGCAGGGATGGACCCCGATGCAATGAGAAGGTCGTGCTGAATGAGCTCTGGTTGGAAAAAAACAAATGTAGAAAGCAACAGCTGAGAGGTATGGACATGACATCTTGCCTGTGTGAGAAAAAGGGAGTCTTGGGAACCAGGGAGGGAGCTCTAGGAACCTTGGTGTGAGGGGCTGCAGGAGACAGACAGCCCTGCTCCCCGAGGGCAGCCACTCAGACATTGTACTTATGAGGCCCTTTTGTGCTGGTGCTGGGCTGACCCTAAGCTCAACTCACAAAGACTCACTCTCAGATCTGGAGCCTCCCTGCCCTGAAACCTGGCTCCTTTTCCCAGCACTTGCACTCCCAGTCTTCCCTGCAAACAAAGGCTTGGGCTGCTATTCACTCCCTGAACAATCTGTTTATTTTTAACCCCCGTTTCTCGGCATCTTTTAAACAACTGCCTCTTCCCAGCACACTCCCCTCCAGAAATCCCCTGAAGTGCTGTAAAACCAGGAGGCTGCAGTTGGAGGCCCAGTAGATGCCAGAAGCCACATACTTTATCTGGCCAGTACTGCCAGGCTCTTGTCTCTAGAGCTGGGGACAGACCCTTCCTCCCGTGACAGCTAAGCAAGGCTCAAAGGGACCACAAAGTCCTCTGGTCTCAATTCCTTGGAATTCTGTGATGCAGAAACCAATCCAAAAGACCAACTCCCTCCAAGCAGCTGTTGGACTTGCCTTGCACACTGTCACCAAACTGGTATTTGTCTTCCAGTCATGGGCAGTGACACAGACCAACACAACCCCCCTGTTAGGGAGGAAAGCTTTGCCTAACCTGGACACACACAGTCTCTGGCATCTCTCATGGCTTTCACCTGCATTAAAAGGCACTTCCAAAGGGATCAGCCTTTCCAAAGGGATCACTTCCAATGCAACTCAACCCAATCCCCCAGGTTTTTGTCATCCCATGTTGGTGGGACAGGCTGATCTTCTGAAAGCTGCAGAAACAAGGGGGAGCAGGAGCCCCGTGCTGTGCTGGAGGGCAGTGGGGGCCCTGCTGCTTCACCTCAGGCACACCCAGCCCACCCTCCGGCTCAGACACAGCAGGACACTGGTCCTGCCTCCTACTCATGCTGAAAGCCCCCTCTGGAGAATCTGCACTCCCTGGACCACTCCTGCCTCCCCCTGCTGCAGTGATGCCACCTCCCATTGTCACCCTCTGTCACTACATGAAAGTCTCTTCCTCATTTCTTCATTGTCAACAGCTCCATTTTCCAGGGTCAGACCCACACAAACCACATCTCAGGTCACATTCCTGGCTCTCCTACACCTGCCAATTCTTTGATGTGCATAGAGAAATGATCAAGCTGTTCGTGCAAGTTTAGACCACAGGAAACTTCAAAATCCAGGATCCAGCTCATAAAGTCAGGCTGAAGAAACAGGAGCCTCCAGGACCCAGCTCAGTGCCCTCTGCATTTACAGCTTTTACAGGGCGAGGCCGCATGAAACTGCATTTCAAGAACTTCAAGTGGGAAGTGGCCCCAGGGCAGGGCTTTCCCCAGCACACCTCCCACCTCCCGTGCATCCCCCAGCAGGAAAACAGGGATGTGAACTTACTCTGCAGCAGAGACAAAGCAATTGAGGTGCCCATCGTTCTCGTCCAGGACCTCCCTGGTGCGCGCCTCCCCCGTGGACTGCAGCCCGATGACGATGCACTGCAGGGAGCACAGGAGGGAGCAGGAGTCAGGGAGCAGCCAGAGCCACAGCTGCTTCTGAAGCAGGGCTCCTGATCAAGAACCACCTCAAATCTTTCAGTCTCCAAAACTGTCCCTCTGCTCACCCCCCAGAGGTGACTCCCACTGCAGCACCTGACTGACCTCGCTAGGTAGTTTCTGCCTAAAATTCCCACGGTACATCCAGATGGATGAAAGGACAGAGCTGTGCTCAAGGTGAAGGATCTGGTACCTTTCCTAGCTTGAACACGACCCCAGACAGTGTTTCAGATCAGCTTGCCCACCCCTGCCACCAGCGAGAAGCGGGTGATGCCCTGGAAGACCCAGCCACGTTCACTCCCCAGTATCATTTGCTGTGGCTGTTCCCAGAAACCCGGGCACTGCATCCCGCCCTGGTTAATGTGGAGAGAAATCCACCCCTGGAGAGGTTCAAAATGGCTTTGAACTCGAGCTGAACAATCATTAACTCCCCTTGGTTGCAGACTACAAACAAAAAATCAGTCACCAAGCAGCTCTGGTGCTGCTGCCAGCAGAGCAGGGCTCACACCTTGTCCTTGGCCAGCTCCTCCCGGGCCAGCTCCACCAGCCGCCGCACCTTCGCCGCGATGCACAGGTACTTGAAGAAGCGCTGATGGGCCGACCAGAACTGCCCCCACAGGGACTTCCGAGACTCCAGGCCGACCCAGTCAGCTGCCTGCTGGAACACCATCAGGGCCTCTGCCCACTGCAGAAACCCAGAAAAGCTGTGTTAGTATCTTTGTTTTCATTT